CGTCCCGCGAAGAATCGACTCGCTGTTTCGCGAGCCTGGTCCGGGGTATTTATGTACAGTCGACGACGTCTCGTCGAGATCGAACATCTAATCGTAAAAACGTGCACGTTTATATACATACGAAGAAAAGAGAGAAACGACGACGACGACGACGAGGAGGAGAAGGGGATGCGGAGTAGCGTGAAAGAAAGGATGGAAAGTAGGAGTGGTATCGCGGTTTTACGCGATGTCGGCTTAAATCCACGAATATCGAGGATTTAACGAGTGCCGGTACGTAGACGATATGCCGCGAGCCTGCTCATCGGCCGAAATACTGCACGGTGCTTCGGAATCGTCCGAGCTCGATAGGATTCGCGATCGGATGAGGAGAGGGAAGGAAGACGTCGTGTACTCGCGAGGACGAAGGAGGGCGATCGTCGACGGGACGCGGGTGTACAGTAGTTGTACGATGATGCGCGATGCGTTTGCTCGTCTGCGGTGCGAATCGATCGGTTCGTCGCGGCTAACAAACGCGGTGACTAGCTGAGAATTTCGCGGAGCGATCGCTCGCGAATCCGGCAAACGCGGACAGAGACCGAGAGGAGAAGAGGCGCGAACGATCGTTTCCTCGCGGTCGCGGGACGTCGATCGCCTTGGACACCTTTCTCTCTCTTTCTCTCTCTCTCTCTCTCTCTTTTTCTCTTTTTCTCGACGCTCGAGAGAAAGGACAAGGAGGGGACGTACGCATGGATCAAGGAAAACGCGGACCGAGAGATGGGCCAGATCCCGAGAACTGGTCCCAACCGGTTCGACATCTGGTCGATTTTCGCCAGTGCGGCAATTGAATGCCCAGCCTTTTGCACTCGTGCGCGTATGCGGTGAACGATTCGCAGTAGCAATTCTCGGTCGGGCATTCGCACATGTCCTGTAGACAAGCCTTGTAGTACATGGTCGGGTTCACCTTCTTGTGACAAGCGTCAAAGATCTGCGACCTCAGCCTGTTGCATAACCTGCGCGACATATGTCCATGTTGTTACATTTGTTGGCTACTGTCGGACGCGCGGAATTCGACTAGCCAATGAGAGTACGACGGATAGATCGAACGTCACCGTACCTGTGATCTTTTCGTCCTCTGCAACGTTTGGCTCGATCCGGGCTCACGCTCGGCTTTGGCCTGACGCAGCTCTTTTTGGCCCCCACTAGCCAAGATTGACCGAACGGTTGAGGATCTTGCAACAGTTTGCCCCTACGATTGGTAAAGTCGTCCTTTGGTAGGGAATTGAAGTTGCCGCAGAGACCGCAGAGCCGTCCCCTGTACGAAGTCGGCGCCGATACTTCGAGGAAACTGATCCCATCCCACAGAACCTTGATTCCGATCTGCGTGCTCACGATTATGCTGTCCGTCGTGCGATTCACGTCCAGCCGGTTCGCCATGCGATACGGTATCTCCACCTTCTTCCCGTTTACCTTCACTCGCATCTTCTGCCCGAGATTCACCTTCAAGTCGCCTACCTACGACCACCACCGCGGATAGAGAGAGAGTCGAGACGAGATTGAGCTCGATCGATCGATCGGCGCGCACATCTCCGTCGCTCACCTTGATCGCGATCGTTTTCGTCCATGCGGAGAATCTGGTGGACCTGGCGTCGTTCGTCACTCGAACGCTGAACGTGTGTCCCGAGCAATCGCTGGCTAGCTGGTACTTGCAAGGTCCCTTGAAGCTATAAAACTTGCCATCGAACGTACGATAGTGCGGATCGCCGAAAACGGTGCACACTCCGTCACCTGCGAACAACGAACGTGCGAAAGACGTGAAGGATCGCGACCACGTCTCGACGCTTGGCGGTGGTGGCGGTGCGCTTACTTTCCACGCAACGGGGGCAGCATTGGCCCTCCGGATGTTCCAATCTGGAGTTTGGAGGGCAGGGCAAATTCAACGGTGGGCACATCGGCATCGCGCAGCGTACTTTACCTTGCATGCAGGCGCATGCCTTGCACGAGTCAAGCTTCCAACTTTCGCCATCCTGCCTAGGACAAAACAGAACCTTTAATAAATCTTTGAACGAGGTCGCGTTGGACGAACGACGAGCAGCGGATCGATCGACCGACGATGGTTGTACTTCTCGATCGGAATAAATACTCGCCCCGTAGGTTTTGCCGGCGTAGGTGCAAGATCGTCGGACCTCCTCGACCTCGGAGCACTGGGGACAGCAACGACCGGGAACAGCGATCTGATGTTCGGCCAGACAGTCGTGTACCGGACAGGTTTCTCGAACGCAGGAGACGGTGGAATTGGAGCAGCTGCACCGCGTACACTGATCCAGGTAGAACTGATTGCCGGAATTGTAGATACCCGTTCCCAGCATGCACGCGCCTTTCGGCGGTGACAAGTATCTTCGACTGCCTGTTGACAACGACGCGCGTGCAGGGCAACATCGACCAGAGAACCGCGCGTATCGCTCCGTCTAACAAACTTGGCCTACCTTTGCAACGTGGACAACATTCTCCGGAATCGTGAACGATCTTCGAGCCGGGACAATGTAGCACCGGGCAGGCCTGTTTCGCGCACGTTAATCGACCGGCAGCGTTGCATCTGCAAGTAACGCAGGGATCTTCGGTGGTGGTCACCGATCTGTCTGCCGTCACTAGCTGTCCGTTTACGTTGCACCCTGCGAAAGAATCGATCTTGCGTGTAGTCCGACATCGAGGAACCAGCTTGCCGACGTACTCACCTGCGCACACCGGGCAGCATTGGCCGGCTGCGGCCGGAATAGGATTCGCGCAAGGCGTGTAGCAGTGCAGTCGAGACTCCGTGATCACTCCGGCCTTGCAAGTGAAGATTCTACACGGATCGTTCTCCTCGATCCACTCCGTCTCGGATTCATGATGGACTCCATTCCGCGTACAACCTTGGGCCGATCGAACCAATTAAACTTTGGAAAGGCGAGGAAGCGACGAAGAACGCTCGGATTAATTTCGCAGTGGGAAAATCAGGGCTCGTGCCGAGCGCGTTTAAGACGAGAGAGACGAGAGAAGAGCGAAGGAGAGGAAGAAGAAGAAGAGGAAACGGACGATAAGAAATCCTCTGGCCTCGATCGAGCAAAGAGTCGGTCCGTGGAGCAACGCAACGCGACGGTTGCCGGTGTAAACAGCCGATCGCGATGCCCAAGTTGCTCGGGTTTATCGGCGTATCAACGCGACGTATCGACGAACAGAAGCGCCTTTGTGCCCTAGGAACAATGCTCCGCCCCGGACATTCCACTCGCGTCGAAACTCACACGCTCTCTCGCTCTTTCTCTCTTTTACTCCGTACGAATCCGTTTCTCCGGGAGCTGTGCACGATGCAGCTACTCGAACAAGCCACGTCGACCCGTGCAACGAAATTAGACCGATTCGAACGTCCATTTCCGCTTACCTTTACACCTGTGACAGCACTCTTCCTCGCGTGGTTCCAGCAACGTGTAGCAACCCTCGATGCTGGGGCACTGCTGTTTCCTACACTCGACGAAACCGTTCTGCGAAACAGAAGAAACAGCGGATCGTTTAGCGGTAGATGAAAAGATTCGATGCCCAAGGTCCGAGATCTCGCCTCCAGCCGCGCGACTATCGTCCAACTCCGGCGTAATTATTTCTCGCGCCTCTTATCGCGCGGCCTATAATTAAAGCTTTGTGGTTTATCTGCCGGTTGGATTACGTAAAGCTATTTAACGCGCGGGTCACGGATGGTCTCGCAGCGAGAAGGTCGAGACTCTCGAAAATAATAGAGATTATCGGCGATGAAAGCATCGGACGAGAGTAACGTTCTCGACGGCGAATCCAAGACTCCATCGATCCATTCGGTCTATCGGTCCATTCGGATCGAGTACGAACCGAAGATAGTCGTCATCGACGTCGTCGTTTCATCGGCCGTCTCACTGACATCGCGTTCGCGCCAACGATCGCCACTCATTCGGAAGAATTTCTGCGTCCGACAGGTTCGGATAAACGCGAACCGATTGCGAACGTGGCGTGGCATCGCGTTAAGGATTCTCGTAACGCGCGCGTGGTTGAACGCCGTCCTCGCGGAGCCCCGTCCTCCCCGTTTACCTTGCACAAACAGTTGAAACATCTGGTATTCGGGATCTTGTCCACGGTGAAATCTTCTCCTTCGATGTCGCATGTTTCTCGGCTTCCTGTAAGCAAAGGCCGTGAACGGCGAATAACAATGCGAACGGTGCGACGCGATCGGTACGCG